CCTATGGGGTCTCTATGGGTCCCTATGGGGTCTGTGGGTCTCTATGGGTCCCTATGGGGTCTCTATGGGGTCTCTGTGGGTCTCTATGGGTCCCTATGGGTCCCTGTGGGTCTCTATGGGCCCCTGTGTGTCCATATGGGTCTTTATGGGGTCCCTGTGGGTCTGTATGGGTCCCTATGGGGTTCTATGGGTCGCTATGGGTCCCTATGGGGTCTGTGGGTCCCTGTGTGTCCCTATGGGTCCCTGTGGGTCTCTATGGGTCTGTATGGATCCCCATGTGTCCCCATTTGTCCCAATGGGTCCCAATGGGTCCCTATGGGGTCTGTGTGTCCCCATGTGTCCCTATGGGGTCTCTCTGTCCCCATGTGACCCTATGGATCCCAATGGGTCCCTATGGGTCTCTGTGGGTCCCAATGTGTCCCTAAGGGTCTGTGTGTCCCCACGTGTCCCAATGTGTCCCTATGGGGTCTGTGTGTCCCTATGGATCCCAATGGGTCCCCATGTGTCCCCATGTGTCCCCATGTGTCCCAATGTGTCCCTGTGGATCCCTATGTGTCCCTATGGGTCCCCACGTGTCCCCATGTGTCCCTATGGGGTCTCTGTGTCCCCATGTGTCCCCATGTGTCCCAACGTGTCCCTATGTGTCCCAATGTGTCCCTATGGGGTCTCTGTGTCCCCACGTGTCCCCATGTGTCCCCATGTGTCCCCACGTGTCCCAACATGTCCCTATGTGTCCCTATGGGTCCCTATGGGGTCTCTGTGTCCCAACGTGTCCCTATGTGTCCCTATGGGGTCTCTGTGTCCCCACGTGTCCCCATGTGTCCCTATGGGGTCTGTGTGTCCCTATGGGTCCCAATGTGTTTCTATGGGGTCTCTCTGTCCCCACGTGTCCCAATGTGTCCCTATGGGTCCCTATGGGTCCCTATGGGGTCTCTGTGTCCCCACGTGTCCCCATGTGTCCCTATGGGGTCTCTGTGTCCCCACGTGTCCCTATGTGTCCCCACGTGTCCCCGTGGATCGCAATGTGTCCCCACGTGTCCCCTCGTGTCCCCGCGCTGGGCGCTGCCAGAGCTGAGCCTGGCGCTGAGCCCCGAGGAGCCGCGCCCCGCCGTGACCCCGGCGGAGGAATGGAGGTCAGGGGGGGGGCGTGGCCACGGCGGGAGGGGGGGCGTGGCCTCGAGCGAGCGACCAATCGGCTTCAACCCCTCCTTCCGCAGAGCCCCGCCCCCTCTGCCCGAACTTCCGGAAGAGGCGGGACTTCCGCCGGTGGGCGTGGCTTCGTTGCGGCGGTCAGTGGGCGTGGCTTTTTGGGGGGGCGTGGCTTTAAGGCGCGGTTTGACCCCGCCCCCCTCCCCCCCAAACACTTCGTTCCTATAGGGTGGCGCTGGAGGGGGCGGGGAGACCGGAAGGGGCGGAGCTTAGCGGGCTGCTCCCGAGATCCGCCCCCCGGAAGTTGTGGGCGCGGCTCTTCCGGGTTTGTCTGGGTAAGGGGGATGGGGGCGGGGCTTCGGCGGGTGGAGCCAATGGGATTTAAGTGATGGGGATGGGGGCGGGGCTTGCTCTAAGCCCCGCCCCTTTTGTAGATCTCTGCGCCGCCGGTTGGCTGCGGCTGGAGCAAGCCCGCCCCTACGGACCAATCGGCATCCGGCTTGGCCCGCGAGGCCCCGCCCACCCCTCGCCAAGCCCCGCCCACGCGGAATAAAACCAAAGGGGGGCGTGGCCTCGGCCTCCATCCTTTTATTGGTCAGTCGGTGGTGTCATGGCGGCCGCGGCGTCCAATCCCTGCGAAGGGGGCGGGGTCACAGGGGTGGGGGGGGTGGGGGCACTTATGGGGTCGCCGTGGGGCTTCTATGGGGCTACAATGGGGGCGCTGTGGGGCTGCTGTGGGTGCTATGGGGCAGTTATGGGGTCTGTGGGTCCCTATGGGGCAGTTGTGGGTCTCTATGGGGCGGTTATGGGGTCTATGGGGCAGTTACGGGTGCTATGGAGGCATTTATGGGTCTCTATGGGGCAGTTATGGGGTCTATGGGTCCCTATGGGGCAGTTATGGGGTCTATGGGGCAGTTGTGGGTCTCTATGGGGCAGTTGAGGGTTGCTATGGGGCAGCTATGGGGCTGTGGGTCACTATGGGGCAGTTATGGGTCTCTATGCGGCTGTGGGTCGCTATGGGGCAGCTATGGGGCAGCTCTGGGGTTGGGGCTCACCATGGCCCTCTGCAGCCTCCCCCGGTCGCTATGGGGCAGCCGCTCCATTCCCCGCCCCACATCTATGGGGCAGCTCCTCCACAGCTCCTGCAGCAGCCCCACAACTGCAGCTTCCAGATCTGTGGGGCCAATCGGTGGGGAGAGGGTGGC